GATAAGCGCTATAAATAGCATGTATCCAATCGAACCGTGTTCAATCGTGTGCAAAGTAACGACAAAAGTAACTGTAAATTTCGTTACCGTTACCCAAAAAATGTAACTCGTTACCGTTACAGTTACCAAAAAAAGAAAGTAACGCAGTTACCAGTAAAGTTACCAAAAAAGTAACTTGTAACTGTAACTTCGTTACAAGTAACGAGTTACTTCCATTCCCTGATATTTACGTTATTAGCGTTTCAATCGTTATATATCAAAATAACATAAATTTTTCTAAATAATACATCTATATAAATTTATGTTAATCCAAATTAATTCAGGCTCTCAATTTGATTCTAGCAACACTCTTTTTCAAGACTACCTCAATTTCCACTCTTTAGAGTGAGATTCCACTCCACAGAATTTAGAAAGCGCAGGTACGTGCAACGATGACAGCTCGCGCGGTGAGAGGGAGAGAAAAAACGGTGTAATTTCGGATCGGCGCGCGGGAACCGGCGTGTGTTCTGTCTTAGGATGCTCGCCTGATCCTCGGGGAGCCTTGCGGTGTAGAAACCGGTCAAGGAATGCGTGTAACGCGTGTACGTACACGTCACGCCTACTCATCGTCCCTGTCACGTACGAGGGCTCGACGTTCGCATACGCGCTCCGCTTGCGGCTTACGCGCGTGTTGCGTATACACATCGGCACCACGCGCGTATTATATACACACGTGGTTGCGCGCGGTGATCTCGAGTGTATGCGAAGCGACCGACACGGTGTGACGTGACGCGCGCGCGAACCGGAGACGTGCACGTGCGTCTCCGCGTGCACCGACATGGAGCACGCGATCGAAGACGATTGTCGGGAGCCGAGTGAGCTGCCAGGAAACTAGCAAGAGCGACAAGACTCGCTCTAGGAGTTCCACGATGGGAGAAGATAGTTCGTCTTGGGATCCCTATACCTGAGACACGTCAAGATAAAATAGAAACTTTACTTCTCTCTCGATGCTCTGTCGTATATTAATTACTCCATCAAATGATACATAATTTTGTCAGATACACTCACGTTAGAAGTGAACGCGCTGGATACAAATAATAAATAGACACAAAATAACAAACAAACACGTCTAACGTTGAACAGATTTAGCGTTGACATTCATTCGCGTATAATTTCAACAGATACATTGACGGCTCGTCTATATGTATAATCACGAAGAATTATAAAATCTTATTCGTTCTTTTACGAAAGCGTTGAACATTTAAAGTTAAATTTCTAACAAGTTTACGTTACAATATGTATTATATGTATTATATGTCTAGTAGAAGGTCGCGTTACGCAAACAGAATATTTCTAACGGCTATAAAAAGGTGTAAGAGCTTCGTTAAATTATTTTCCAAGGAGTATCTTTCTCGTAGCCCCGAAGTTTTGCCCGGCTTGCGTAGCGCCCTTATTGGTACCAGCTTGCAGACCGATAAGTCCCTCGCCAGCCCTTAGCTGCTCCTCCGTGAAGGCTCTTTTGTTCTCCTCCGCTGGTTTCGGACCTAGCCAGGGTCCGCGCCATTCCGGATGCTTATACGTCTGCAAATTAACGCACAAAGACTGCATTTTCTTCTTTATTTATTTAACATGATTAAAGAGGCAAAATGCAATTGTAAAGTGCATGCTTATTTTACAAATGTTATCCCAGTACTCTTTCAAATTTACAAAACAAAATCTGTGAAATTTGACAGGTATTGAAGAAAACCTTTCTTAAAGGAATCTTCAGATTTTTGTGTAAAAAGTGCAAGTAGTGTAAAAGTAATGAGATAACGAAATTATCGTTAACTAATTACCGTCCGTCCAATAGCGAAGATGGTGTTCGTCACTTGAGCGATATTTTTACGTTCAATCAAGTCGACAGCTTGGAAGAGATCAACATCGGGTACTCCGTATTTTACGCAGGCTTTCTGGAACCTGAGAAGGAAATTAAAACGCATCTTTTTAATTCGAATGTCTATATACATGAATAACTTAATTGAGGGGTAAGAAAAGATTTGCGTAACTTTACACATTTAATTTAATCAACGGAATAATTTTGAAGAATTAACGTTGGAGAAACGTCGAAGAATTACTGTAACGAGACGTTACGTGGGGCTCGTGGAATCACGTCGAGGACGGTGGCGAGTCGGAGGGGAGACAAAAGGCGGGGAAGAAACAAAAGAGGAGGACGCTACGTCCAACTCCTTTATACGGCTGCTCGCCTGGGCGTCGTCTTGAGCTAGTGACGCGCTTCTATTGTTCGATCGCTAATTATCACCGCTTGATAATTAACGGGTTGTGACCGACTGAGAGTTCGATAAGGCGCGGTGGCCTTTGTTCTCCGTGCCGTAGAAATGACGTGTCGCGTGTGCCCGTATAACAGGATAGCAGAATCACCCTCCGTTTCCAACGTCGAGAACGACGACATCCCTCCGTCAATTATGCTTATTGTTTTATCGCGAATGTATTAATCTCGCAAATTATTTGTATGTAAAAAGTATGAGAATTCGCGTAATTTTACCGCAAATCCAATGCAAAGGGTAAAAAGTGACTTTGATGTATTATATGTGGGTGATGAGTTTCCCGCGCAAAAATAACATCCTAGGGGAGAGTGCATACCATATTTAACCTATTTTTTTTATTATATTTCCCATTTGGCACTGTTTTGTATACAAATAGACATTAGAAATTGTATAGCTTGAAGTTTCGGACGTTTATTGTTACATGTTTAACTTTTCGTCAACGACAAATTAATTTGTCATAAGTTGTAATAATTAATTGTCATTTTTGTAGAACGATTCAACAGACATGTGTTAAAGTTACGTTTTCTACATACTTAAATTTGTTGAGTAATTTACTTGTCACTTTCACATTTATAGTCACCATTAATATCTAATTCTAATTTTTTATTAAGGATTTAAATCAATCTATAGAATATCTCGTAGTAACAGAACGAAAGGAATTTATTTAAGTGAATGTGAGAGAATAGAATGTTTCGCCAGATGATAAATCTATAAAGACGAATAGTGGGAAATATTTGCCAATATATGCCAAACTACCACATATTCCACCCTGCTCGTTCTGATGTGTTCCTGGCGCTCGATGCGTCTTCCGCATATGAGGTACTGGAATAATGAAACGATTTATCACGCACATGTGTCGCATGTTAAACCAATTCGTAAGAAACGTGTGTCCTTCTCAGATGATACTTTATTTTTCACTGTCTAGACAATACAATATCGCGAAGGAGTAGAAAAATCAAAATGTGCCTTTGTAATATGCACTCTTATGCAGAGACGACAGAGTTCTCTATTACGACTACATTTACACGGCACCCTTAATCAGGTTTAATAATATCCATAGTTATATGAAACTGGCCAATTATAATCATTCCATTCTTCAAAGTAATAGCTATACATGATCGGTCAGTTTCAGAACGATAAACGTCATTAAATTCGATTAAGGGTGCCGTATAAACGTACTCTATAAGAAGAGAAAGTGAATGAGAGAGGAAGCTTTAAGAAAGCAAGAAATTTCACGCAGCCCATTCAAATATTGTGAACAATTATATGTAAATATATTAATATATTTATATTGAAAAAATATGAAATATTTGTATATGTATATATTTAAATAAGCATATATTATTTACATATATTTACATAAGATCGATCAAGATATATGCTCATATCTTAATACTTACATTTACGTACATTAAATAACTATTAGATATAAATAATATAATAATCGCGAGGCTTCGTACACCCCGTGTGAAATTCATATGTCAGCAGAAGAGCGAGGGAGAAAGCTGTGAAATTTTAAAAATAGACATTATCGTGTCGCGTTCCCGCAGGACTCTATTTAGTTACAATATTACAATAGACTCCGTGGCCGTGTATCGATCAAGCGTGTGGTACCGCAACCTGTTGCGCTCGCCGAGCCGTCGGGCAGGTCAGTGCTTACGAGCGGTTCGTTTATCAGAGCCGCATGAGGGAGACTCGGCGCGCTGCGCTGCAACGCGCGCGAATATCCCTCTCCTCCGCTGTGCATTGGTACATACATATGTGCAGATCTTACGCGTTCCGCGAAGACGCGACGCGCACGCTGTACGCGCGGTGCCGGCGGTGTATCCACCTTCACCGGGATCATACTGCTCGCGTAGAAAGGGAGTAACGCGGAGTGGCCGCGCTGCGCATCGTTCGCCCCACTACCTCGGCGACGCGCTCTTAAACATTCAAAACGCGCCAAACGCCGAAGAAGCGCGACATGCGCACGACAGTCGACAATGCGCCTGACACGGCGAGAAGCGCGAGACAGCGCGCGAGACGTGCGCGATGCGACCGAAACGCGCGAGCGGGCTTCGTTTGGCGGTGATTCGATCGCGGGACCCTCCCCCAGCCCGTGTTCTCGTCTTTCAACGTTTCGAGCTGTACTGGGCTTCCTTCCCCTCTTCCCCGTGGAAGGCTGAAAATAAGTGGTTGCGTTTAATCGGATTTAATGACATCCGTATAAGTTACGAAACTAATCACCAGTCATTCCATTCTTCAAAGGAATGGCTATATATGATTGGCCAGTTTTATAATTAGTATTATATACAGATGTTAAATTCGATTAGAGATGTCGTATAAACGCCAGTCACTGGATCGTTAGATGATGACCTTTTTACGTGATATTGTGATCCTATCATACGAGGTTTTTCAAACTAATTGTTTGCAAGACGGAGACGTTTTCTTCTCTCTCTCTCTCTCTGTCTTGTAACCAATCGATAGACTTGAAAAGCCTTGATTGTCGTATAACACAAGAAATATTGGCTTCAGATGGATCGGAAATCCATCGAGGGGATCAAGAAGAAGAACTCGCGCATCTCTGCCATGAGGAAGGAGATGGTAGTTGTGAATGTCGGAAGAGGGAAGACCGTGACGTTAGCGGGAAATGTATACCAGACACGCTCGTATCTGGCAACCGAAAGGAGCGAATCCCTTTTGTCCTGACAATGTGTTAATAAAAAAGGGAAAGAATATGCGGAAAAGTGCAGTTTGACGAGTCACCCGCGAGGGTGCACTTCTTTTTGCATTGTCCTAAAATCACCTCCTCGCAAGCAAATACTTCATCAGGATTGTAGCAATGTGCTACAAGCGTTCGACTTGGATACCCTATTTTCGGGTTGCGGCTACGTCGCAGATATACATATACATATATTGCGCCGAGCCGTTTATCGCCTGTGTCATCGTGAAAACCAACGACGCGCAAACCTAAGCTTGAACATAAAAGAACGTTTAAATCCCGAGAAGAAAGTGGTACACACACACACATACACACGCGTACAATTTACAAGACATGGAAAATTGCGATTGTGCAGATGATCGTTAAAAATTACCTCGTCAATTTGCTCTAAACTAATCATCGTACTCGATTAATTTGTATTTATTTCGTATACAGATACACTTGAGAGGATTGTTGATACATGATAAGAAAACGCGAAGGGCGTCATGTGACGTGAAAATTCACGCTTTCCGTGGTCCGCGCGTTCGGTAACCGCGGCTACGCTACGCGTCTACATATATCTATCGGTGTTTTCACTTTCATTGCGCTCCAATAATGTATAGTCGATGGTCCCGACCTCAGACTTTGTCGGTTCTCGGTTGCCAGGCGAACAGAACGGACTAGGAGCAGAGGGATCCGTCACCACTGGGGCGTTTCGCGCCTAATCGTTCCGACTGGTGATATTGCGCGACTCTCGAAACGAGAGAATCTCGCGAGAGGGTCAACAATCTCTCGACTCCGAACGGTCCGAACGGTCGTTGATCGGCGTTGTCGATATTCCGCAGTCGAGAGACTGACGCAAAACACTGTCGATTGCGTAAAGTCGACAGCGGATTAGGGGATCATAAACGAGCAGGAGGCGCGTCGCCGAAGTTGAACGCACCGCGCCGCGCCGCGCGATCCGTGAGAAAATTATCTGCGTTACGACTCGCTGGCGCGGAATAGAAATATTTTCTTGAATAGTACAAACGTTACTTAAAATAAATACATATTTATTTATAAGGATAAAAAAAAGTTGAATCGAATTAGTATAGTTTTTGCATCAAACAAATATACGTTTGCATTAGTAGTAAGAAATATTTACTTTGACTTATTTAAATTATTAGAATTTAGTTTTTAACGAAATCACAAAGTATTATAAAGCCTAACAAATATCAATAAAGGATTAATAATTAGAGATACGAGAAAATTAAGTAATCAATTTGATAATTATGAGATTGAGCATTTCTCTAGTAAAAGCAGCTCGTTATTAACAAGTTTATAGCGAAACTAATACTACTTTAGTTAACCAATCTTAAACTCAAATAAATGTAAATTATTCAGAGAACATTTAGTGGATATTCAGTGTCTTATTTCGTTATTATCACACACATTAGAGTGTTGTTCACTTCTTAAATATAATTTCTGATATTTTCTTGATCGTGTTTACTATTCTTCAAATTCATAACGTGATACTCACTGATTAAGGTTATCCATCATTTTGTAATCTCCACCGGATGTATTGACCTTCGAGATCAGGCCGGGCTGCAATTTATTCATGAGCATGCAGAGCAAAACACCATCCCTCAGAGCATCTTCGTAACTCATACCTATAAGAAGCACGAGAACGTATCGTTACATTCCATCGTATAAAATAAAAGGTTTTTACAACTAAAAAAAATAAACACATAAGCAGCAATTTAAAATCTACAATTTAAATATACAACAAAAATTATTAAACGTTCAATTCAGAAAATTGTTTCATCAAATGTATGTAAAGGATATAATTAAATGAGTGATATATACGACCCGCGATACAATCTGTGAAAATTTAATTATTCGTAACAATATAATTTATTATGATCTAAAAGTATAATGTTTGTAACATCGATATTATGAAACTGGCCGATCGTAACTATTTTTCTGAAGAATCGAATGACTGCGATTAGCTACAGTTTTACAATATCGATGTTATAACTTTGGAATAAATTAAGCTGTGTTTAAAACAGTCTGGCTGTATCATCCAATAAATTGTAAATCTCATCGTGTACTCGGTGACGATATACTCTCACTTTTCTCTCCCCCGCCAGTGAGAGAAAACTTTTGACTGGGTCTGTCCATGGCTGCACGCACGTGCGAAAAAAATTAACCCAAGATAGATGCAGCCTAACACAGCTCGTCTTACCGACTAAACTAATTTTTTATAATTTTTATATAACAATTGCCTCTTTCTTCTTTTGATTTAATAATCCCTTTCCAGGAAAAGTATTCACATTAATACGTGTCTATGGAGTTTATGTTGCAAACGACAAAAATTTCGAACTTGAGTTCTTTACTTTTTTAGACTATTATAACTGCACGTCGTGACAACATTTGGTTTATACATGTAAAAGTTATGCAATCTGTATTTATAAAATAATAGTCCGCAGACTAGTAGGTGGCATAAAAAGAAACAGCGCGCGTGGAATTTCTAAAATTGGACTCGGACGTCTAATTAAAACGTAATTGTTATACGAAAATTTATACGTATGTGTGACACGAGTGAGATATTGATGTAGGGATGAGTCAATGACACGTAATCGGCTGTGTGTAAGCGCTATTTTCAATATGCGACTAATCGTCTTTAGGATCCCCTTAATTAGTATATCCCTTCGAATCACCGCATGACGGTTTGACAGATATGTTTCCGAAAGTTAAATTCTTTTCACGCGATTCTATTTTCCAAAACGACAAAAAATTGTATGACATTTCTTTCACAATATATTCGCGCGTTTCACTTCCTCCGTCTGAAACGCATCAGTGCGTGCTTTTATATTTGCATTCCGCTCGTTCAAGAAAACCGTCGCGCTTATCAGCCGCATTTACATGGAGAAAGCCTCGAGAGAAAAGGAGAGCGATTTCGCTTGCGAAAAGAATGTTGATGACCACGACGGCACCAGGATCGCAGAAGCGACCGCGTCCTCCCTTCCCGCGACCATCGCCGAAAACCGCGCGCAGTCCCGCGCGGGGGCGAGAGGAGGGGCTGAGGCTTGCGCGATATGCGATGCGTTTTATCAACTCGTCGCCACGTGCTTTCCCTGCCACCGGCCATTTTTTCGCTCGATACACCACACGCGCTGAATGGAAGCGCCCCTACCACCGTCCGTCGCGACCCGCCCAGTCGGGGGGGTGGGGGGGGGGGGGG